AGTAGGCACATAAATAATGCTTGTTAAAATGTGGAGGTAGAATGGCAGGTAGAAGTGAAGAAACCAGATTGGTCCTAAGGTTTGGCTCATCCCTTAGATCAAGAATAAAGGATCCCCACTCTTTAGACCTTGAAAAAAATATTGTTTTCCTGCCTGGTTGCATCTGTCCATTTCTAGAGGAAGAGATGAATTTGTTAACCTTCCTTTGGCATAAATTTTTACCCACATTGTAGTATCGAAAATACTTAAGTCTGGCCACTTTCCCAAGCAGTAGTGTTCTGTATATTCTCCTAATGGATGTTTGTCACATGGTACTGTAATAGTTGTTTCTCTGTCTCCTTGTCCCATACTGAGCTCAAGTGTAGAGACTTTATCTGAGTCATCTCTACTCCTTGAAGAAATGTCATTTTGTTTTTCTATAGTGGGAATCTTTGAAAGGTTAGTATGCATTGATCTCATTGCTTGGTACACAGTAGACATTCAGAAAATAACTGGTTGATTTTTGAGCTGAGTGGTCTATTCAGTAAATTAAGCAGATCTCTGCTGCAGCTCCTGATCTCTTCATTCTTGATTTTTTTTTTTTTTTTTTCTGTCCTCTGCTATTGTTTCCCTATTGCTCTACACTCTACTATTCCCTTTACTTGGCTTTTTTTCCCCCACAGAATTCACCATCCCCTAAAACATCCCTTACAGCCAACCAGGGCTTCTGAAGCCTCTGCCAGCAATCCCATGCAGGAAACAGGCAGCGGGCAGAGGCTATGACTGGTAGACCAAGACAGATTTTTCTGACACTAAGGATCTGAAGACCTAGGTGTTGTTCCTGCTTGATGCCTCTAATTTTTTGGGTGACCTCTCGAGCATTTTACTTACCACAGTTGCTTACTTTAGTAAAATATATCATTATGTAATGTATATATTATCTAAACTTAGTCCTATTTTTTAAAAAGTCTGTTGTCTTCCATATAAATGGTATATTATTAAAACACATATAATCAATCTAGGGAACATATCTACTTAAAGACATACTACTTGTGTTTAAGAGCCATGACCATTTGAAAATAGGAAAACCAAATTTTAGTAAAATTTCCATATATTGGGACCCACTACTTCTGTGAAATAGGAAAAGAAGTTTGCTGTTTACCTTTGCAATATTAATTTGGGGGGGGGTTATTTACCAAACAAATTACTGCTGAGATTATATACTAAAAGTTTTAACTCATTTTAGATAATAAATTTAATTCTTAAAATCTATCTTTTCTCTACACGTGCTTTGGTTACCTATTATCCATTCTCTCTGAAAACATTCTCATCCTATTTGTCCAGTCCTTGTTAACTCTCTTAATACAAGATAATCTGCATTAAAAAAAAAAGAAAAACATTTGTTCTGTTTTGCCATTCACACATTTTAGACATCTCTTCCTCTAACACTAAAATCCAAGTTAGTAATGTCTTAATTTCTTGGGAGAACAGTTGCTCCAATGGAAAGTTTAGTAGACTTAAGTGACTTTTCCAGTATGATTTAAGACTTCAGTGTACGTCATAAGCAATGTGTTTAAGCTTTGCAGTTACTTCAGTGCTCAACCATCAGTACTTCTTCTCCCCACTTTAGTCGGCAATGTCAAAAAATTGCATCAAGCTTTTGTGTGAAGATCCCGTTTTTGCAGAATATATAAAATGTATCCTAATGGATGAAAGAACTTTTCTAAACAACAACATTGTCTACACATTCATGACACATTTTCTTCTGAAGGTATGTTGTACTTTGAAAACTCAATGTATTACTTCCAGTTAGTTTATGGTTGTATTTTCATTACATTGGTCTTTTGGAGATTTTTTTTCATCTTTTTTTTTTTTCAGGTTCAAGGTCAAGTGTTTTCTGAAGCAAACTGTGCCAATTTGATCAGCACCCTTATTACAAACTTGATAAATCAGTATCAGAACCTGCAATCTGATTTCACCAACCGAATTGAAATTTCCAAAGCAAGTGCTTCATTAAATGGGGTAAGAACTGTGTAAGGGAATAGTCATGCACTTTAGAATTTTCCTTAAACCAACAACTCTAGTTGATATAAGTGATTTTACTATCATAACGTTAACTTATTCAGACTCTAAGTCAAATATGATTAAAAAACTAATCAAATTTTTAAGAATAATATTCACTATGCCTATTATGTATGTTGCACACACTATTACTGTAGAAGACATGAGCTAATGTTATTAAATGCTAAAGGCAATAAAACTAAGAGACATTCCCTTTAACTCTGCTTGTTTACATTTTTTCAAATATTACTTGTGATGTTATTGCCTGTGGCTCATGAGTAACTGAAACAAATAGATTGATGATCTGCCAATTATAAAGCCAGTTAAAACTAGAAACTAAATTGCTTTGTATAGACTACCATGATAGCTATGTCATAGAATGGAACACCCTGGAGATATGTGCTAGCACTAGTATAGCAGCAGCTTCTTAAGTAACAAAATACTTAGATGCCAGAACAGATTACAGAGAAAAGTGAGGACTGCCTTGCTTTTTATGACATCCACCCAAAATTAGCATAGTTGAAACTTTGATTTCTCGATGAATAAGGCCTAATTTTTCTCATGGATGATTTAGTTTTTTTTTAATTCCTGTGTCAGTTCTTTTTCACATTTTCAGAAAATGTTGAGTCTTCAGTCTGATTTAAAATGGTATGATACATAAAATGGTACTACTGACTTAGAACTGATGAGATGTAATAGTATGCTGGTGTTCTAGTTTCAGCATTCTTCTAAAAATGCCTGATAAACCAGGGTAGATTCCTGGAAAAGTAAACATGTACGCTGAACTGTAAACAAAGTGTGTCAAAATGTTGGCTATAGAATTTGAAATGTTCGTATCTGGGATTTTATAGGACCTGCGGGCACTTGCTTTGCTCCTGTCAGTACACACTCCCAAACAGTTAAACCCAGCTCTAATTCCAACTCTGCAAGAGCTTTTAAGCAAATGCAGGACTTGTCTGCAGCAGAGAACCTCACTCCAAGAGCAAGAAGCCAAAGAAAGAAAAACTAAAGGTTAGCCTTATGGATCGGTATTTTACGGTGGGAGAAGGGAAGAGTACACTCAGTGTAACTGACTGTACAAATAGCTGTATGTTCAGTCGGGCCTCCTAAATATAAATGCTAAAAAGGAAATTTCCCACAATCCCCTCCAGTATGATATTAAGGACTCCTTTCAGAGAAGTCTGTTTTGATGTTTTTCACAGATGATGAGGGGGCAACTCCTGTTAAAAGAAGGCGTGTTAGCAGTGATGAAGAGCACACTGTAGACAGCTGCATCAGTGACATGAAAACGGAAACCAGGGAGGTCCTGACCCCAACTAGCACGTCAGACAATGAGACCAGAGACTCCTCAATTATTGATCCAGGAACTGAGCAAGATCTTCCTTCCCCTGAAAATAGCTCTGTTAAAGAATACCGAATGGAAGTTCCATCTTCATTTTCAGAAGACATGTCAAATATCAGGTCACAGCATGCAGAAGAACAGTCCAACAATGGTAGATTTGAAGATTGTAAAGAATTTAAAGACCTCCACTGTTCCAAGGATTCTAACCTAGCTGAGGAAGAATCCGAGTTCCCTTCTACTTCTATCTCTGCAGTTCTGTCTGACTTAGCTGACTTGAGAAGCTGTGATGGTCAAGCTTTGCCCTCCCAGGACCCGGAGGCTGCTTTATCGCTCAGCTGTGGCCATTCCAGAGGACTCTTCAGTAACATGCAGCAACACGACATTTTAGATACCCTGTGTAGGACCATTGAGTCTACGATCCACGTGGTCACGAGGATATCTGGCAAAGGAAACCAAGCTGCTTCTTGACATTAGATGTAGCATGTCTACTTTTAAGGTCCCCCTTCTCCCCAATGCTGTTTGTATAAGTTTTGCTCATTTCTGTTTTTGTGCTTCAGTTTGTCCAGTGCTCTCTGCTTGAATGGCAAGATAGATTTATAGGCTTAATTCTTGGTCAGGCAGAACTCCAGATGAAAAAATTTGCATCTTCAGTATCATTTCTAAAGGGCAATCAGATAATGGATATGTTTTATGTAATTAAGAGTTCACTGTAGTGGCTTTCATTTAATATGGCTGTCTGGGAGGAACAGGGTTCCCTGGCCCTGTACAATGTAATTTAAACTTACAGCATTTTTACTGTGTATAATATGGTGTCCTCTGTGCCAGTTTTGTACCTTATAATAGAGGCAGATTGCCTCCGATCGCTGTGGTTCTTATTATCAAAATTAAGTTTACTTGTATACGGAACAACCACAAGAAATTTGATTCTGTAAAGAATCCTCTTTAGCTGTGGCCTGGCAGTATATAAATGGTGCTTTATTTAACAGAATACCTGTGGAGGAAATAAAGCACACTTGATGTAAAAATAATTGTTTTATTTTTATTGACATGACTGATTGCTATTCTGTGCACTTAATTAAACTGATTGTGATGACTTTTCATTTGTTTTTACATATGTTGCTTCAGTCTTCTCAGATGAAAGTAATGAGAAAACTGTGAATGGGCAAAGCACTTACCATTTATTCTATTAGAAATGATATGGCAATCCAAAACTGAACTTATTCCCATAGACTTTTCCATCCTTTCCACCCTGAAGTGCATAACTGCTGCAGAGAGAAGCATAATACAGCCAACTCACCCTCACTTCAACATGCTTCCAAATGCAACATGCCACACTGTTGCACAACCAGGAGCTACCTTCGTTAAAAATCCGGAAGTAAAATAAAGAAATGGTATCAACATGCCACTTATTTTTTGTCTTCCTGAACTAAAACTGTAGCTGAAAGCTTGCTTGCTACAAAGACACGCTTTAGCCTGGGAAATGTCAGCTATCTGTACTAAGGGATTCACTATTCCCAGAGGAGCATCTATGGGAGGAGGTAAGGTTAATACTTAATTTCCAGTTGCTTGCTTCTAAATCAATGCAAAGTTTTATCTTAGTAAAGACTCACACAATGCATTAAGTTCTATAAAAGTTCAAGGATTTCATCCATTATAATTTTTTTTTAAATAAGAAGTGAACTCTACAAAAAGTAATGTCCTTATAAAATCTTAACTCATTCGACCACTTAAGGTGGTCAGCTGCAGTAAGTAAACCTTTTATTTCTTCAAAATGCTGCTTCTGCCAACAGAATTTCATGTTCTCTTCTTTACAGACAGGAATTCCTTTACAATCCAATTGTAATTCTGTTTGTCCAAGAGTAGGCACAAAATGCAGTGCAACTGTTGCATAGTGTTCTGGAAGAAAAATAGGAAGCATTATGAAAAGGAAAATTTATAAGTACTACTACCTGCTTTTCATAGGGGGCAGCTTGAGTGTTTTTGGACTCAACAAAGGGTACTAACTGAAAACATACCTTCTGGCCAGTTCCTATATCTCCATTTCATGATGATCTTTTTATTTCTTAACTGAAAACAAAGGGGAAATTCCACTGAAAATATCTTTTTAAAACTTCCTACACAGAGCAACACCAAACCTTTCAGTAAAACTCCTATGTACTAAAAAGAATCCATGAACAACATATAGTCCCATCTTCCAGTTTTATGTCAGCACCATTGTCCATAATGCCAAAATGTCCATGACAGTTAACATCAAGAAGTGTCAATACACTGCTAACCAGAACAGAGCTGATGTCAAGGGTGAGGCAACTGACATTTGGCAATGCAGATACCAGTGATGTAGGTGGCAGAAAGCTGAATGTTCTAGACCAAGAGTTGGGAGGAATTATACTTGTTTCTTCTAAAATCATAAGCATTTGCACAATTACTAAGAAACCGTAGCACGCCTTTATCAGTATATATAACATTTTTTATTTGCTCTGTAACCAAATTAATGAAGTTCTCAGGTTTCTGTAAGCTCATAAAAAAATTTCAAGTTAAAAACATCATTGATTAAAACATTGATTAAAAAAGCAATGTTAATGGAAACGAGTCAATTCCCGGCTTGCTTTTATTTAACTGTAAGATTACTTAACAAATTCTATATATTCACCAGTAGATGGTCCCATCAAACATTTGAAATTTCCCTCCCTTTTCAGCTTCTAATATGGCAGGAGAGTTAGAAAATTTTTGCACCAACTAACCAAGCAAAACATAGTAGACATGTTACTTCAGCACCTTTTTAACCTAAATGTAAAATAATATAACAGTTATTATGGTTTTCTTTAATCCTAAATATGTAGCTTTTCTTACAGCTTTCTCTTCTTTCTCTTCCTTGCAGAGGGAGAAAACTAAATCAATTAATGTATCCCCTAAATGCTGATATATTCACCCCAAAATGCCCATCTTCCCCCCCTCAAATTTTTCAGAAGCTATCCTAAGGACTTCGATCACCACAATTCTAGACCCCCTCAATCAGAAAAACATGGCCATAAGAGAAACCCAAAACCAGCTCTAGTGGTACATTTTTCCCAAATGTCAGCATTTAAGATACTAGCTTGAAAAGTTACTTAACATCTTTCACAGTGAAGATATTGTACAGCTGCTCTACAGCTGTGTCAAACAGTCTGTCATGTGCAGCGCCACAGTGGGAATCCTTACACCCAATGATACTGGAGACAAGGCCTGAATCTCAATAAGAGGTTCCAAAGGCTAATTAGGATGCCAAGAGATAATATGCTGTTTAGATTTTAAAACTGCCTTCCAGTCTGAATAAAACACCAAAATGGCCCATATTCCACACTACCCATTCCAGACACATGGAAATAGCATGAAAAGTCTTTAGTGCCACCAATCCTGGTCTTTATTTTGGAAACGGAGCTGCAATCAAGAGGTTTTTCTATTGTGGTATGTGAACCCCAAAAGTCACATGGTTTTGTAATCTGTTGCCTACCAAACAGTGCCTTTATTGAACTAAATTCAATACTCAGCCCACAAAAAAGGCCTGTTTTTACATTTCCTTCCATCAAGAAGTGTCATTTCATCATTTTCCCCAAGAATGACAGAATGCAAGGGTGAATTAACTGGCTATCATTTACAGTTTTCCATCATCAAAAGGCTGTTGAGAGCTTTAAACCATTCTCATTAAGCTTACCCTTTCCCCTTCCCTACATATTGGCCACCAGACAGACATCCTACCTGCAAGGTGCTCTCATTCAGTTTCCTGGGTTGCCGTAGCTTTTGTTGGTAAAATCATTCCCACTGTAAATTCTACAAAGAAACATGGGAAATGGTTTTAATACGGAACTTCTTCCTTTTCAGCACAAATAGGCAGAAAACCCAAAACAGCGTATAAGAAAATGAAACTGATATTTATAAAAAGAATTCCTAAGTTATTTTGAGAATATCAAGGTCATTCCATGTTGCATATAAAACTAACGTGAGTTCCACAGCAACAAATGCCTTTTATTCTTTTTTCAAATGCCTCATTTTTACTTAGTTTTTGATAAAATAGCAAAAATTTCAAATGTCCTTTTCCAAAAACCTGTTTTATACAACCAACTACTAATAGCTTTACGGTCTTCACCTACTGTCGAAACTAGACACACTCATTGCATCACCACCACCTCACAAAGCCTGGCCTCACAGTATTCAAAAACCTGTGGGCCAGTCATATGTGTGGTCTCATGGAAAAAGTGGCAACCTTAAACCCATTTATGCCAACACCTAGACACGAAGCAGAGTCCAAGGATGATGTACAGACACACAGGCCCTGTTGGCCATTTTGCCTGGCAAGTAACTTCTCTAATTTAGGGAAGAAAACAATAAGTAACCTCACTTCTACACAGTGTAGGAATTACCTAGGTAAATCTCAACTACACCTGTAATACCTACAGTTACTTCGATTCAACAAAGGTTTATCAAGCACCACTATGTGCCAGGCATTGTGCTAGACGCTGGTGATAAAGCAGCGAATAAGACACCTTCCATGCCCTCATGGAGCTTATACACTAGTGGGGAAGACAGATGTTAAGTAATTATACAAATGACTGATTATCATTCCAGAAAACTTAACAATTCTGTAGGCAAAATGGTTCATGCTCTGTTTGATACTGATAATCACTAATTATGGCATTACTTGCGGCAAGCTCTCAACCTCCAGACTACAGTTTATCCTGCAGCATAAAAAGTTGTTTCTGGAACCTTAGACATCAGCCTACCCTGGGAATCTAGATTACAGTACAGAGCATAACTTGGGTAAATAGAAAAGGGACCCTCTGGTTCAGAAGGGGTGCCTTCTTTACCTGTCTTAAGTGCCTTCAGGTAATCTCCAAAGACATCCCTGACCTTGGTGGTGCTTGCAGCTTTCATAAGATCCTTCAATATATCCCCATCTCCTTTCTTTTTACTCATGTTCACCTACAAATCAGAAAAATACAAACCTAGGAAAAATCTGGTTTGATATAGTCTTACAACATTGGGACATAAGGGATGAGAGAAGAACTGTTGATTATGAGAGAAAAGTAGCTATAAGATGTTGCAGGGTTTTTCCTACAGTTTGAGAAGATGTAAGGGTTTTTTAATCAAAGCTCCACTGACTAGGATGGCCAAATCTTGAATGGACTTCTTAGAATGTGAATCATTTAACTTGCATACAAAATTTTATATGTTTATGTATTATATTGATGATGTAGTCCATGGCTTTTATCAGGGTCTAGAAATGCGCTGTCCAGTATGGTAGCCGCATGTGGCTATTGAGCACTTGAAATGTGGCTGGTCTGATTTGAGATGTGCTATAAAATGTAAAATAATACTAGACTTGGAAGACTCAGTACCAAAAAAAAAAAAAAAATGTAAAGTAATTTTGATATTAACTACATGTTAAAATGGTATTTTTATATATTTGGGTTAAATAAAAATATTATTAAAATTAATTCTACCTGTTTCTTTTAACTTTTCTAATATGGCTACTAGAAAATTTTAAATTCCATATGTGGCTTGCATTATATTTCTATTGAACAGCGCTGGTCTAGAACCCCAAAGCCAGTGTTATGTGGGAAAACAAGTTCCCACATAACATGGCCTTGAGTTACACGTTTGGCAGGGAGGAGAGTTGGCAAAGGGAAAAGAGAGAGGGAAGGAGGGGAGGGGAAGAAGGAAGGGAAGAAAAGGGAGAGAAGGGACAGGAGGAAAGAGGAGGGAGACTGGGGAAGACAGGAAAAGAAGGATCAAAATGCTTTGGAATGCCTCTGTGGTATTATCAGAGTGAAAAAAAAAAGTGTCAAATCATTTAGTGTCCCTATGATTTAGCTGAGCTGGGCCTAGGCCTAGGTCCCAGTTCCAATCTAAAGAATTGTTCTATAGTGTTACCAAGTACTGAATCTAAAAGACCAGTTTAACTTACTGACAGAAAACTACGCAGCTGATGGATCCAAATATTGCAAAGTGAAATCACAGCCCCTGAGTATAACAACCACATACCTGAAGATAGGTCTGAGACAGCCCCACTTTTCTGGCATTTTACAACCTTTAATAAAGGCGAGTCATAAATATGTTGCTCAATATGATCTAGGTTTAATATCTTTGAAAGCCTTCATATTGAATATGTTCCACAAATCAAAAAAGACCCTTTGTCAAACTATTTGGTTTGGAAAATATAGCTGCTGAATAAATGATCTGTCTCCAGAATGAAGCTTTCAGCTTAGAGAAGGCACTAACAAAACCAGGCTGAGTTACACAGGCTCAATTTCCCAAGAGAACTAGGAGAGCCAGTCAAAAGTAACACATACTAATTAGTTAAGAACAAAACAAACGAGAAAAAAATACAACATAATATAACCAAGGGAGATCACAGCTAAAAGCTGAGAATTTTCACTATCAAAGAGAAACAGCAAAGATGCAAGGGAGGAGAAACAAAATCCCATTCACCAAGCTGTGTATGCTGCCCGAGCACTTTACAGTACATACACTGTTACAGTTATCTGACAATACTCTTCAATGATAAATTAACCCTGTTTCACAGGAAAGGAGGCCACAGAGGGTGCAGTCACTTCCCCAGGCCCTATACCTGGTCTGGGCGGCAGTCTACGGCTTCCTCTGCTTACTCTTTCCTATACTACTCTGCTCCACACTCCTTGCTGCCCTCACAGTACAGCAATCCTTGGCAAATGAGCCCTCTATGACTCACCAAAACTATAGCACAGGAATCACAGTCCAATAAAGTGTTTAAATGCTCAACACTTACAGCTTGATTTAAAAGAAAATACTTCACCTCAGTGTCATCTACTTCATTTTCTTCAGAAAAGTTAGGTATTTCAATCAATCTCTTGTGCTTTTGCACCAGATTCTTTAATTATACCTAAAATGAGCAAAATGTGTTTTTCAATTACAAAGTAAAAACTGGTTTATTCAAAACTGCCCTGCATAACTGAATAGGGTGCCACCTCACAGGGTGCCACCAAAGCTGGCAAGGCAGGTTCAGGGTTTTACCACCACACCGGTACCTAAAGTGACCCTGTTCTCCTGACCCACAAGAAGAGGTAAGAAACTGAGAAAAGCAGGGGTAGAGCCACCCCAAATCAGGGACCAGGTGGAAGGATGAGAGTGGAGTAAGTGGGTCTGTAACCAATGTTTCTTTTTTCATCCCTCAATATTATTTATGTCAAAGCAGGATAAAAGGCCATCTTGATAAGTCACAAAAGGAAACAAAAAAAAGAGACAAGTGAGTTCTGATCATGAGTGAGGGGAAGGATGTCTTGGCTTGGGGAAGTTCTGTGTAGACTCCATACAGCTGGGTTTCTTTGAACACTAGAGTATTGATTTCAGAGATAACATTGAGATGGCAACATAGGTTATTCCCAACTTTAGTCCCCCTCACAAGACAACTAAAAGCTCTCCACAGATAAGACACAACTGTGAAAATCCCAGAACCCAGAGGTGAGGCTGAAGCAGAGACAGAGAAGGACTGCGTTAGAATGGTAAGAGGACTCTGAACAAACTGCCCCTCCCCAAGGCCAGCACGGAGTTGCACTGAAAGAGCTCCGCTGTGCCTTTTTTTTCTTTTTTTTTTAGGCAAGGCAACCCTTGGTTGACCTCACAGACTGCAAGGACCTTGTCAGCTTACAATCCCTTATCTTTTTATTTTTTTACACCTACAGCACCTGGTCTTCCTAGGTAGTCTCCCATCCAAGTACTAACCAGGCCCAACCCTGCTTAGCTTCCAAGATCAGACGGGATCAGGCTTGTTCAGGGCAGCATGGCTGTAGACTCCACTGTGCTTTCTCCAGTGAGAAAACGCAATGTGCACATCTGGGTCCGCCATAATTGTGGATGCTTTCTGGGAGGCCCACTTTGGACTTGCCTCACAGGGTCCAGGGACCATTAGGAGTCAGAGATGGAGTGGGGGGCAGGGCTTTCAGCAACCAGCACTCAAGTCTTGGTAGGCCACATTTCTGCTTGCAGCAGTGCATGGGCAGAAATCCTAGCCACTGATGGCCCATCTGCAGAGCCTAGCTGGTAGCCCTATCTGGCTAGGGACCTCAGTCGGAAATTCTGCTTGATTTGGGTCCCCAGTCAATGGTCCATAGCCAGCTATGGAGCCCATTCTACTGCCCCACCTAGGCAAGGAAGCAATTTGCAGCTCCACTCAACTGCTGAGTGCAGCCTCCAGTCCAACTAACCATGGAACCTGGACAGCCACAGAGCCCTGCCTACAGCCCCACTCAGGCAGGGAGGCAAACCAGCAGCCCTGCCCAACTGTTGAACATAGCCTCTAGCCCCACATCACCAGAGATCTTGAATAGTGACCCTAAGCAGCCTCAGAGCCCAGTCTACAGCCCTGCCTGACTGCTAAACACAGCTTACAGCCTCATCCTGACAGAGAGCCCAATAACCCCACCCAACTGCTGGAGGCATCTACTGCCAGAAAGCCGTGCAAGGGACCTTGTTCAATAGTGGAGCACAGCCAGCAGCCTTCCTGATTGCGAAGGCAAGCCTGTATACCTGCCCAACTTAAAGGCACAGTCTGTGTGCCCATCTGATCACAGCCTGAAGCTAGGTCCAACCACAAAGCCCTGCCTAATGGCCTCGCCTGAACAGAATCCAGCCAACAGCACCATCTGACCAGGCAGCATAAGCTGAGACCCTACCCAACCAGGAGTGAATGTGGAGCCCAGCCCACAGACCTACCCAATCACAAAGTCCAATCAGTGGCAGTACCCTAATGGAGAACACAGCCAGTGATCCCATTTGACTAAAGGTAATTGCAGAGCCCAGCTAGAAGCTGATGTGACCATGGAGCACAGCCAGCAAACCCACCCAGTCAAGGAGCTCACCCACTGGCCCTGCTCGAACATGGACCCCATCTAGCGACAACCCACCCAACCTCAAAGCAAAGGTAGTAACCCCACCCAACTAGAGACCTTGACAGCAAGCCCCACCAAACTATGGACATTACTGGCTGAACTGCTCAGCTAGCTGAATGGTGAAGGTCTTTCTCTGATCAAACAAACTTGTAAAGTCTGGCAGAGGAACCACTTACTTACACTGGCAGACACCAATGTAAGGAATCGAGGTGCATAATCAGGTAAAACATACAACACCAAAGGAAACTAATAAAGCTGCAATAAATGACCCTAAAGAAATGGGCATCTATAAACTATGTGACTAGGAATTCAGAATAAAAGAAGTTTATTAAACTACAAGAGCACACGGACAACTAAACAAAATTAGGAAAACAATGCATGAACAAAGAGAAGTTGAAAAAATAGAAACCATTAAAAATCAATTGAAAAAAATCCTAGAGCTGCAGAAAACAATGACTGAACTGAAGAACTGAAAAACTGAACATAGAGCTTCAACAACTAACTTGAGCAAGCAGAAGAAAGAATTAGTGAACTAGAAGATAGGTTATTTGAAATTATCCAGCCAGAGGAATAAAAAGAAAAAAGAATAAAAAAGAGTGAAGAAAGCCTACAGTATTTATGGGATACCATCAAAAGAAACAATATATACATTATTGAAACCTCATAAGGATGAGAGATAGAAAAAAGAGACAGAAAGTCTATTTAAACCAATAACGGTCAAAATTTTTGACCATTACCAAACCTGGTCAGAGACATTAAAATCCAGATTCATGAAACCCAAAATACCCTCAAATATGTTGAACTCAAGAAGAGCTACATCAACACATAATTAAACTGTCAAAAATCGAAGAGTTTTGAAAGAAGCAAAAGAAAAGTGACTCGTCACATACAAGAGTGCTTCCATAAGACAATAGGCAGATTTCTCAACAGATATCTTATCGGCTAGGAGTGGGATGAGATATTCAAAATACTGAAAGAAACAACTGCGAACCAAAACTGCCACACCGAGCGAAGCTGTCCTTCAGAAATTAAGGGTAAAAAGGTTCTCAAGGAGCTCAGAGTGTTCATTACCACTGAACCTGCCTATGAGATGCTAAAGGGTGTTCTTCAAGCTAACATAAAAAGATGCTAATTAGCATCAAAAAAATACAAATGTGTAAAACAATGGTAATGATAAATACGTAGTCAAAGTCAGATTATCTAATACTGCAATGGTGGTGCATAATTCACTTACAATTCTAAAAGTTAAAAAACAAATGTATTAAAAATAACCATAACTTATATGTACAGTAACTTATGGTTATTTTTAATATTTGTTTTTTAATTTTTAAAGTAAATTGTAACATCAATTAAATCAGGTAAAAACAATTAAATTATAACATTTAAAGTAAATCATATCAAAAACCTAAAATGTGAGAAAAAAATTACTATATGCTATCAAAGTTGTTATCAGTTTAAATAGGAGTTTATAAATATTTTTTATGTTATCCTCAACATAATCGCAAAGAAAAACCTGTAGTAGACACACAAAAGATTAAAAGGTAATAGGAGTCACAGCATAGGACCACAAAAAGGCATCAAATCACGCAGGAAGATGGCAGGAGAGGAAGCAAGGAACATAGGTGCTACAAAACTCTCAGAAATCAATTAACAGAATGAGCAATTGTAAGCCCTTACTTATCAATAATTATTTTAAACATAAATGTATTAAGTTATCCAATCAAAAGATACATAATTCCTGAATGGATTAAAACAAAATAAAAAAACAAGATCAAACAATGTGCTGCCTATAAGAGACTCACTTTAACTTTAAGGATACACATGAACTAAGTAAGAGTGAAGGGATTAAAAAAGGTATTTCAAGTAAATGGTGACCAAACCAAAGCAGTGACTATACTTATATTAGACAAAATAGACTTTAAAAATGGTCAAAAGAAACAAGGAAGATAATTATACAATGCTAAAGGGGTCAATTCATCAAGAAGATGTAACAATTCTAGGTATATATGCACCCAACATCAAAGCACCTAAATATATATACTAATATAAGCACCTAAATATAATACTAACAGAATTAAAAGGAGAAATAAATAGCAATACAATAATAGCTGGGGACGTTAACACCCAGCTCTCAACAATGGAAAGATTATCCAGACAGAAAATCGATAAGGAAATAGATTTGAACAACACTATAGACCAAATGGACCAAACAGACATATAAAGAACATTCCATCCAACAACAACAGACATATAAAGAACATTCAATCCAACAGCAACACATTCTTCTCAAGCTCCCACGAACATTTTATAGGGTATTTTATAGGGTAATTCATATGTTAGGCCACAAAACAAGTCTCAACAACTTCAAAAAGATAGAAATTATAATATCTTTTCCAACCACAATGGTATGAAACTAGAAATGAATAACAAGAGGAAAGCTGGAAAGTTCACAAATATATAGAAATCAACACACTCCTAAACAACCAATGGCTCAAAGAAATCAAAAGGAACAATTTTAAAATATCTTGAGACAAATGAAAATGGAAACACAACACGCCAAAACTTATGGGATGTAGCAGAAGAAGTTTTTAGAGGGAAGTTAATAGCAATGAATACGCCAAAACTTATGGGATGTAGCAGAAGTTTTTAGAGGGAAGTTAATAGCAATGAATACATACATCAAGAAAAAAATCTCAAATAATGAACCTTAACTTCACAACTCAAAGAACTAGAAAAAGAACAAATTAAGCCCAAAGGTAAGAGAAGAAAAGGTGGCGGGGGAAGGAATCTATACTTTCAACGTAATTCCTATCAAAATTTCAATAGCATTTTCACAGAAATAGAATAATCCTAAAATGTGTATAGAAGATCCCAAATAGCCAAAGCGATCGTGAGAAAGAACAAGCTGAAGACATGACACGTAATATAGTAAACTATATTACAAAGCTATAGTTATCAAAACAGAATGTTACTGGCATAAAAACAGACACATAAA